ATATATATATATATATATATATATATATATATATATATATATATATATGTTAATGAATGTATATTTTGTTAAAAATAATCCTTATTATTAGAGTTTTAATAAATATCATATATATTTTATTATTATTAGATATATATAATTGTTCAAGTCAATCTCTCCAATTGTTTGAATAGGGATGATGAGAGCGAGTTTGAATGAGACATGAATGGGAATGAAGAGAGATAAAATAAATGTAGTAGAGTCCTGTAGAAAGTAAATTAATTAGGATCGTCGGATCAATAATACTGAATCGATCTGAGTCGTGAAATATTCAAGACAAACTAAGCTAACTATTTTATTATATATATATATTGAGATTTAATTTATTGACTTAATTTGTTCACCTAATTCACTATAATCTTTAGATTGACCGTTGGACCCATAAAACATTTGAACTTGGTATTAATCCAATGGATCTAATGAAACCATATTATTAGATCAACAAATTAGATCAAAATTTTAGATTCCAATAATATTAATCATATGCAACGGTGTAATAATTAGGCATATTATTTTTTGAACCTAAATATCTGACCTCATTCCTACCCACCATGTAACATTACACAGCAGTTTATAGTTGTCATGGTCAATGGTGAAATTGAAATCAATTGATAATTTGACAAAAAACATAAATGCACAGATATAGACAATGGGGGCATCAATTTTAGCCAATTTAGCTGCAATAAAACATTCTCTTTCCCTTGCCCAGTTGCTCTGCAATATATATTTATTCGAATTTTAAACTTCAACTTACCCAAAAGAACTCGATTTTTTTTTTTTGATATGTAACGATTGATCACTATTACAACTCTCAAGAGGGACAGGAAAAAAATGATAGACATACCTCGTTTTGCTTTGCAGTCTCCAGAATCAATCGAGTCCCAAGTTAATCCAAGGCCAAAGCTATTGTCAGAGATATAAGGACTATAAGCAAAAGGAATTGCAATGGTTTTCACAGGCTTGCAAGAAACTGGAATGGGTAGAGATGAATCCACAACATAAACATGATAGTCAGAGCCACTTAAGCAAGGAACTTGCAGAAAAGAACTTGAAAGCCTCAAAGAACAATTCAAGTATGTGTACTTTTTTACATCATAGTAATACTTGAATGGCGTAGAAGAAAGATTGAGGTTTAGGAACACTTCATGGACGCAATTTTTCGGGTCGAGAAGATCCATCTTTTTGATGTCATAAGAGATGGATTTGACAACCAAATCCCCATAAGATTGAAACTGAACTATAGTTTGGTTTTCTCTGCAGACTAGATTGAAACCGGGGCGGGCACAACTGTTGGATTGCTGGTCTTGGAGATAGAAAGGAGTCCGAATATCGGGGGTGCCATGGCCACAATTCACTGATGGACAGTTGCCATTAAAAGCCTCTGTGTGGAAGATCAAGGAAAAGCAGATGAAGAAGATGAAGACTTCCATGAAGGTATCAATGCCAAAGAAGAAAGCTGAGGACTAGACTAATGGTCAGTCTTCTTAAATTAGATGGTACAAGTAAGGGAAAGAGCAAATTAAACTTAGATCCATGTACTATACCCCCCTTTCATATTGTTCCTTAAACTATCTATTTATTTGTATTACACTTTTAAACTATCAGTTTGAGTTTCATACTGTCCGACAACTAATTTTGTCCACTTTTTCACTGAAAATCAGGGCAAAAATGGAATTTCACTGAGGGGAAGAACACATCTTTCAACTTTGCGGGATCCCATTTTTGCAGTAAAATTGGATAAAAAAGTGATTGAGTGAAATAATATGAAACTCAATCAATAATTTAAGATGCAATGTGAGAAAGTAAATAGTTTAGGAGAGACGATATGAAATGAGAGCATAGTTCAAGGAGTCTAAGTATAATTTTCACTAAAAGGCAAAATGAAAAGAATAAGCAAGTGGTGGTGAAGTTGTTGAGAAGTCTTTCCTTCCCTTTAGCTTGAACAAGCAGCCATTAAAGCGAAACCAACAGGCTGGAATTTTCAATTGATGAAAACAAGGGGTGCCTTTCTAAATTATAATAAAGTCTTTGAGTCATTAGAATAAACAAAGAGGATTGAATGAGGCCCAAGGATTGCTAGCGACCAAGAAAGCCAACCGTATGGATTGGATACACACCGGAACCATTGGGTCTCCATTGCACTGAAGTCTTGGCAATAAGACAAATTTTCTCTCTGTCTCTCGACTTCTTCCAACCCCAAACTATACCCCTATTAAACTCCATAATATCAAAATTCCCATTACTAAATCAAAGATTGGTGAGATGTTTCGATTTTGGTGTAAACCGGCACAAAAACCCAAAATTTTCGTGTTTCAGAATCAAGTTTTTAATATTTTCTCTATTATCATTCTGTTATTGAAACATTTATAAAATGTTTTATGTTTCGAGCTTTATCCAAACTATGTGCATCAAAACAGAATCTTATTTATTAGACGGAAGGCACCGGGTCTACACCTACCCCCATGAAGCCATTAAACATACTCTTTCAACCCCTACAATATATTCCCTAAGCACATATTATTTCACTTTCATAACTTTTCACCCTAATAGTTTTGTTCCACACCTCACACAACAAGTCACAATCTTGGAACAACCACTAAAAGAAAAAAGTCTTTTGAGACGGCATTCTGCGGTGGCATAAAATAGAGTATTTGCAGTGGCATTCCTTCCACCACAATAGGCAGTGCTGCAAATGTATTTACGTTGCGATGGGGTCTTACCTTGATGGCTTGAGATTGAAGAAGCAGCAAAGACACTTTTAAGAAGTTCAGGATAGTACCAGGAAACAAATACTTGAGAACTCAAAACAATTCAATTGAGACGATACGTTTGATGATACAATTGTGATTCTGCACTACTAGTACAAATAACCGGAACAGAACACTAACAAATAGGAGGGGGAGAAAAAAATAAAAATTAGAGGAGATCTTTTGCTAGTCTCACTGGCTTTTCCTTCACAAACACTATCTCACTGTTCGATGCAATGAGAAGATGATGATCTGGCTCCTCTTCACTCTCTGCTGTAACAGATGACACAGCAGACTCTGACCCATCATCTGCTTCAGCACAACATTTTGATCAGTGGTTAAAGAAAAGAACTTAGAAATACAAGAAGTCTATTTTTATTTACCCTTCTTGATTCCAGTGTGGTTGTGAGTTAATACACATGATGTACACATCCATAGTAAGAATGAGTTCTATTTTACACAACAACACGAATATATAAGTTAGGATCCAAAAGTTATGTAAATACCCTAAAGTTCTTAGGATGGATACAATGATGTTAGATATGCCATACAATGATGTTAGATATGCATATCAGTGGCATCCAATATGTTCCAATGATCTCATTCTTCAAGAAGAGTGGTATAAAATTTTCAGGTGGCGGTTTGACAAGATGACTAATAAAGCGTGGTAAACAATCCAAAGACAGGATCCAAGGTTCTGACTGGTACAAAAAGGTTTATGTTTCATTCGCACAATTTTATTTCTTTTTCCTTTTGTTCATCCCTTCAGTAAGTTCACAGTATTTGGCAACAAATGATTGGTGTGATGTTTTAGATCTTTCCAATTTTACTTTGTTGGAGCCAAATCCTAACTCAACTAAACAAAGACATGTCCCAACAATTTGGGACTGGGTACGTGAATCTTATTTTGCTATTGTGATTTAACAAGGATCACATTTTCAATTAAATCACGAGCTTTCACATCACTCTTTTATGATCATATTTTTTTAATCATGTCATTTAAAGTCAATCATTCACATTACGATCAATAGCTAAGGAGATCAGTGGAGTGGTGATAGGGATGAAACTGAAAGCAACTTAGAGGAACACTCTTTAGAGAGAAAGACTTACAGCAGAAAGGGACTAAATTTTTTTTACATTGACAATAGATGGGGGCAATTTAGCTAATTACAATAATTTTCACACAAATTTCCAGTCAAATTTATTCTAATTAAATGCATGTTAGGAAACACATTTCCTTTTACTTTCCTTCCTTTCATCTCACTTTCAACCACTTTACTTTCCACATTATATTCTTTCTATCAAAACGAACCCTTATACAAAACTTAAAAAAAAAAAATTACCAGAATATGCTTGATGATTGTTTAGTTGTCTGACAGCTGTAACCTGAAAATTTTCCGGCAGAAAACAATTGCAGAAAGAGCCTGAAACTTAAAAAGCCAATTGCATAAGACAGAATCAAAAAACTAATCAAGTAGGCTACAACGCCAATATTCAAATGGTCAAGAAATGTTGGCAACCATGTTTCCGGACTCTACAAGAAATGTTATCCTCTTAGAGGACTAGGGCATCTATACCAAGTAAGGTTTATGGTACCCTCAGAAATTTCTAAACCTTGAAAAAATGTCAAATCTGACAGATTTTACAGACTGATAAGATGTTTGGGAATGCTTTCATATTTTATCCGAATGGTGTACATTATATTCCAGATCTACAAACAACAGAAACAACCAGGCAATTTCTTTTTCACTATCAAATTGGAAACAGAAACAAAGGATTTTCTCTCTTACCTAATCGGGCAAGCCGATTAACCCATCCCGGAATGGGCTTTCCGGTCAGATGCATACATACTTCATCAGTAAAATGGTTACAATTCTTGGCAATCAAATGATATGTGTTCCCATGATACTTTCCAGAAAGATGCTCCATGAATGAACAAAATTCTGAACGAGACATGTCGATGCTACCTAAAAGCACTGACCGCCTGAAGATAAAACCAGGGCAACTTCTTGGTTCCAATTCAAACACTCCACTGGATGGGTACTCATGGGCTCCAAATGCATACTCCGAACCGTGTACTGTTTCTCAGAACAATATAAGGTTATTATGCTAATGGCGAAAGAAATGATAGAGAAAGCATAAAATTTAGATGCACAGTATTAGTGACAAATGTATGCCATTGCCATATAGCAGCAGTTGCAAAACTACCGCACAAAATAGTAATTCAATAGGTGTCATGCCTAGCAAAAAAATGTATGTGCTTTGTTTTTGGTTTGCTAACTATCTCAAGTCAGAAATGTACTTGAGCCAGAAACTACTTAAATTAACAAAAACTCTGCAATGAACACTAAAGTCCCCTTCCCCCAGAGAATGTGACAACCAGTTGACATCAATGTTCCAAGGCATATCAATAACAAATTATCACTCCTTCATTACTGTAAAAATGGTAAGGTCATTGCTTAGTACAATGGTAAAATGCTCAGGCCAAATTAAAGATTCAAATATGAGGATAGTTTAGTTACATTAGGAAGTAATGCAAAAGGTTAGATTAGTACCAGTCCATCCCTCTGACATAAATGACCTTTACAACCTTTAATTACTAGGAAATGCAAGATGCATTGAGCCCGCCAATGCAAGCAATAGATTAAGTTTTATATGTTTTAATTATTCACAATACCCGATCAATCCCAATAGGAGCCCATGTCTCATATCTTTTAAAATTGACGATTCCCTGAATTTTGAACATGCACAAAAGTACAACCATTTCCAGTTGCCATCTCCAATTACAATAACATCCCAATATAGCATATAAGATCAAGAACTCGTCCGTGTACAGCAATATTCCTCTAAAATGATTCGCAATCATGATATTCATATAAACTAATTGTTTCCATTGACCTAAAACTAAAAACTCTACACTAGCCTGATTAAAAAGATTAATTTACATCCACAAATCAGTAAAGCTGTAATTCACGTAAGGAGAAATGGGGATGGTGTACCTTCTATCCCAGAATGGAAGATGCCAAGGCCGAACCAATAAAGATAATTGTTTATAGGTGTAAGATCATATACATTGAGATACAATAAAGCGTGATTTTTTCCTCCATTATGCTGCTCCTTGGACGAGCTCGAACTCAGTGGAAACAAGCGCATTGTGTATATCACCCACCACCCCCTTGAAACAATGAATTACTCTTATTGCAAGCTCAGCATCTAATACATAGAACCAACAAAAACCACCCAAAAGAGAAAATCAGCAGCTGAACAATAACTTGTTACTATATAGACTCAATTGCAACAGAGATGAAGACGGACAAAACCCTAATTTACAAACTATAAGGATGTGTTCGGACGAATGAAATTGAGTATCGGAATTGAAATTGGGAAAACAGTTTGTTCAAGTATTGAATTATTGTGAATTGGCTTTGCTCCTTTTCGTCGCACCTAAACACCAAGCAAGTGAAATGGCGGTGGATCGAAGACAGATACCCTAGTACAACAAAATGGGGTACATCAGATAAAACAAAAATCTGAAGATCAGTAATAAACATCAAGATGAACACAAAAACACACACACACACACAGATTACAGAGAATAGAGTTGGAATTCAGTACCCAATAAGAGTGGGGTGGTGTCGAATCAGGGAGAGAGAGAGCTATGAGAGCATTGAGCAATTAAAAGGGTTCTTTTGGAGGTAAGGGAGGTAAAGTTTTGAAGTGTGCCATTCCCGACAGTAATCTAAGCTAACGTATGGTATGGCCGATGTCGCTGAAAATTTCGTATGTGGGGTCCTAAACAGACATTCTGGCCCACAGAGTTCAACTGTTCATTCATATTAAATAGGTTAAAATAAATTTTTAGTCCCAAAATATGTGTGTAATATTTATTTGGTCATCAATCTTTTAATCATGTCTATTGAATCCTTAAGATTTTTTATTTATATCTATGATCTAATCTCAAATATCCGTTACAAAAATATTAAAATATTTGATTATGCGCCAATTACATAAAACCAAATAGATATAAATTAGAAACTTTAGTGATCAAATAGACACAATATTAAGAATCACATGATTGACGCGCGATCAGAACCATCACGATTTTTTTGTGGATGTTTGAGATTGGACCACATAAATACAAATTAAAAATTTTAGAGACCAAATAGACGTAATTGAAAAATTAGGAACCAAATAAACACTAAATACAAACTTTAAGGTCTAAAAATATATTTTATCCTATTAAATAACACTGATCAGCCGCTTCATTCCAGCTAAATTTCTATAATTACATTAATATTACTTTGTACACGTCAAAAAACAGACCGCCTATTTTTATATATAGGCTTTTATTTAAGCACATATCATTTTCATCATGAAGGGATGAATCAATTATCCAGATCAAGAGTACCCATTTTTGTCTTTTTGCATATGGCTGAGAAGTTGAATTTACGGCGATTAAAATTGATTCAATCATTTATTTTGATTTAATGATTTAAATTTTATTTAAAAAATTTTTGTTTTTCCCAAAAGAATTAGCTATTCTACACGACCTACAATGTCAAACAATTATATCAACACACTCCCAAAAAACAAATAATCTCATTAGTTCACACTTACTTCTCTCTTTTTTTAATTTTAAATTACGTAATTAAAAAAATTAAATTATTATTTAAAATACAAATATTGCAAGATCAATTTAATATTCAATAATATTTAATGTCTTCGAGGTTATTACTATTGTTTAATATTTAATGGCATAGATGGCCTTATTAGATAAAAATTAAACTCTGATTTTAATCCCTGCTAAGCAGACTCTGTCCTCATGGCTTTGGAAAATGCCACACTTGGCATGCTCACACCATTTCGCCTTTTACCAGGCAATGGTGGTTAAAGATTGAAGGCTGAGCCGGCTTAAGGATTGCCATAGGTGAGCTTCTTGTCAATTTATAGGTAAGCTTTTCAATAGAGGAGTTTCTTTCTCCAAAATAACCTACTAATGGGATAGGCAAGTTATTCGTACTCAATTTGAATTGAACTTAGTATTCCAAACTTAAATTCACCTTATTTGGATTTAAATACTTTTATGGTTTGAATCGGGAATGGGTGTAGTGTTGTCATACAAAAATTGATTTTGTTAGGTGCTTGTATTAAAGAAAATTGTGATTCATAGTCGTGATATTGACCATCAATCTGATGACACTAAAACGTATCACTTCGATTGTAGAATAGTGTTGGTCAATGTGTACAAAATGTAATATAGAAGTGTGTTTGAGATAATTTTTCAAAAATATTTTTAGAATTTATAACTTCTTATAAAAACTTGAAAAAAAAAAGAGTTTTTGGAACAACTTATTTTAATTACTCTTAATAAGTCAAAAGTACTTTAACGACTTAAATAAGTTTAAAAAAAAAGTAACTTCTACTTTTTTAAAATTATTTCTCTACAAAATACTTCACCATCATCACCACTGTCACCTCCTCCACTGTTGCCACCGCTACCATCACCTCCTCCATTGCTGCCACCACTACCACTACTGCTCACTACCACCACAACTATCAACATCGCCACCACTACCCCATCACCACTGCCACCATCACCCATCGTCTCCAACCAATTTTGGCACCACCACCACTGCTTGCCATTACCACACATTTTTTTGTTAAGTATTTTTTTATTTGAGTATCCAAACGATGTTTATTTAATAAATGTACTGTTTTATAGAAACACATTTGAAAAATATTTATTTAAGAAGTACTTCTTAAATTTTATAAATCATCCCAAATGCAACCTAAACCAACGCCAATTTTGCGGCACCAAGGAATGGTAACAGAAGAGGACAATAGCATGGTAGACTGTTGGTTTTTTGTGGAGTCTAGTTTGTATATGTGATCCGGATGATGACCCGACCCGAAGTAATGTTGTTAGCGCTCATGAACAAGCCTCGTGGGGGTTCGGGGGCAAAGAAGGCTTGGAAAATTTTTGGGCCCGTTATATAGCCTAGTGCATAGGACATATAAAACTCAATGTTTTGGTGATTAGGGTTAATATGGTGGATTGTACAACCGCTCTCTGTATTCAACTCTCTCAATAATGAAATCCCTACAGATTCGTGGACGTAGACAAATTGTCGAACCACGTAAAATCTGTGTGTTTATTCTTTCTTGTTTCTTATTGCTTTATATTCTTGATTTGTTCTTCGATTGTGTGTGTTTGTTAGTAGATTTAAATTGTTGTTAAATCTCAACAACTGGTATCAGAGTTCTAGGTTAAGAGGTCAAGGGTTTACACAATGGCAGAAGACAAAGTTAAGATAAAAAAATTCAATGGCACGAACTACACGTTTTGAAAAATGCAGATGGAGGATATTCTGTATCAAAAGGATCTTTATCAACTTATCGATGGGAAGAAGCCAGTGGATATGGAGCAAGCAAAGTGGGATATTTTAGAACGCAAAGCTCTAGGGACTGTGCGATTGTGCCTAGTATCGTCAGTTGCATTGAACATCGCC